AGTGGGGCAGATCAATTTTAATCTGTGTGAGAAGATGCCATGAAATTCCTTGAATAGAGATAAATAAGATAAAATAAGAGTGGACCTGAAGTGAACTTGTCCCCTATATTTGGGCTGAGACTCTTGCTTTCTCCTATTATAAGCTTGCAGGATTCCAGGCTCAAACATCTTTGGACTTAAAGAGTTACATAGGCAATTGCCTATTCTCAAGCTTCTCAGATGTCTGATCACTCAAGAATGCCTTAGCTTCCCCAGTCCTCTAGTTTGTAGAAAGCACATGAGGGACTTCTGAATTTCCATGACTACAACTACATAACCAAGTTTCACCACAAACCTCTTTCTGCATACCTGTATAATCTATCATATACCTAATTGTTTATTGTATTTCTTCACATAGATACTCAAATGCATATATATACATATATATATATATATATATATATATACATATATATACATATATACATTCCATCTTTAGAATATCCTCATGAATACATACACCAACTAGTTCTGTATCTATGTGCAGTTTTATTATACAACAAACTTTCCTTTGCTTCAGTTCTTCCAGGCTTCACCCTTCTTGACCAACTTTTCTGTCTTCTTAATTCCCTTTAAGTTGGATGTACTTTGATGTGGTCATTCTACATTTGTGTGAGAACTGTGGTTTTTAATTGACCAAACACCATACTCTGACAGGTGTTTATTGCTTAGCAATTTTAAGCCATGCCCTTAGAATTGAAAATCAATAAATCAATATATATATATATTTAAATCAATAATCTCTAACAGTTTAAATCTAATTTAGAACAGACGGCTATGTGTTTGTGTTTGTATTTGTGCATGTATCAAAACTGGTGCTTACATATTTAGAAGAGACAGTGATTTTGTGTTGGTTGAAGACAGAAAACATAGAAATGAATATAGTTAACTAAAACAGGCTGCTGATATATTATATTGTTTTGGAAAATGCTACATTAGAGAGGCTGTGATGCACCTCAGTTGGTACAGTGCTTACTCATGGCTTGATTCTCAGAACTGTATAATTCACTTATGTCACTAAAAGCCTGTAGTCACAGCAATGAGGAGAAATAGGTTGGAGGATCAGAAGTCCAAGGTCATCTTCACCTGCAAAGTGAGATCCAGGGCAGCTTGAGTTGAAGACCAAGTTGATAAAACAACAGAAGAATTCTGCAGCTCCAGTGACACAGTTTTGTATGTTATTTGTGCCAATATTCTACTGTACATTTGAAATCTAACAAGGCTGTAGAATAAACATATACATATTCACACACCCTAAGGAAGCATCATAATAGAAGACTGTATCTACTAACTTAATTGAGCTAAGCATTTTACTATGTATAAAGATGTCAAATTATCACACCATGAGTTTAATACATACAATTAATTTTGTTACTTATGCTTCAGTAATACCATAAGGGAAATAACTGAGCTAATAAGAATTATACAAATTTATTTCTCTGCATATTACTGAAGTTAGGAGTATCTTCTAGACAGAGACATGTAGAGGGTGCCCCTGGAAAGAGTGATTATATGGGAGGAGAATTTTTAATGAATTTCTGTCCATATTGTACTGAAGTGTAGTCTCTTTGGAAACTGGGATAAGGGTAATTTGTCTGAGACAAGAGGCTGATGTAGTGTGAGGTGAAGCAACAAGTATTTCTGCTTGGTACACAGCAAGTTTATCCTGTAGCTTTCTTTTTATTTATATGCTACATAAGGTTGCAACATGACTGAATTTTAAATATACAATTCAATACTAATGGAAAAGTTCTCTGATATCTTGGTGAATACCAGTGTATTCAGCATTTTGTAGCTGTCTAACTATTCGCTCTAAGGAAGGGATATATTTGATGTCTGTCCATTCATCAAATGAAAACAGATATTTAAAGAACTTCATATTGAAAAGAGATGCTCAGGCTCTTATTCATGTGGATTCTTGATAGTTTATAGGTTGGAAATAAGTCTATTTGAGAAGAAGAAAAGTAAATCATTTTTTTTCTGCAATGCTCTCTAGTAATTATTACTAGATGATGTTTTCTTGCTTGCTAAATTTTTCACTTTCTTTTCTATTCACAGAACAAAATTTGTCATTTACAACATTACCATACTTTCATGTTTTAAAATAATATAGTCATAACATATGTTCAAGTATTCCATATGTTGGACATATAGTTGCATACACACATACATATTCACTATTTTAGTCTCTCATACACACATACATTTTAAGTTCCTTGAGTTCTTGGGTTATGGGCTTACATTCCCAAAGGGTATCCAAACTAAATTTTAAAGATATTTATTTTTATTGTTGTTCAGTTTATATATATGGTGTTTTGTATGTGTCTTTGTGTGGATATTTGCACGGATGTGACATGACTGTGCAGCCCAGAAAATGGCATCACAGCCATTGAAAGTGGCATGACAGATGGTTGTAAGCCAACCATGATGACAGTTGGTTTTGTGGTATTTTGATACAGGATTTCTCACTGAACTGAGAGATCATTGATTTGGTTAGACCTTATGGCCAGCATGGCACAAACATCCTCCTGATTCCATTTACATATCAGAATGCATGGGTTATTGTATAGACTAGTAATCCTGGATACTTATATGGGTGATGGACCCAGGTCTCAATGTTTGAGAAGTAAGCACTTAGTCAATTAAATAATCTCCTCAAATCATCAACTCTTTATAAGTAGCATTTCTCCCTGTTTAGAGGAATTATGTGTGTAGGTTCTTGCTTAGTGCCTAACACTCAAAAATTTTATATAGTCACAGAAGCATTAGCTATTCATTAATTGGTCTAAAGTATTAGTTTGTAACCCTGGTGGCATTTCAAAACCTACCAGAAACCAACCATTTGTACATTCATTTAATTAATATACAGATAAAATATCTGTGACATGAATTGGGCAATGTCATTAGCAAATTTGCCCTAGGTCTCTCTCTCTCTCTCTCTCTCTCTCTCTCTCTCTCTCTCTCTCTCTCTCACACACACACACACACACACACACACACAGAGAGAGAGAGAGAGAGAGAGAGAGAGAGAGAGAGAGAGAGAGAGAGAACAGGTGGAGACAGAGACAGAGAGAGACCGACACTGATATGGGAGGGGGTAAAGAGTGAGAGAGAACATGTCAGGGTTTTAATTACCCTACAGCCTGAGATCCTAAGGGAAGATGAAGCCCTGTGAATGCAGAGTCCTGACAGGACATTGTACACTGTACTAGAGGGGTTCTAGTCTCAACTTCATGACTGGAAGTTCATGACATGACTTCTGTTGAGTCATTGCACTTGGGACACTTAACAATGAGAGGTAAGGAGTTATATCCTCTCTCTCATAAACTGGTCTGAGGGAGAATACCCAGGCTCCCCACAAAGCCAGAAGAGAGACAGGTATGATTAATCATAGCAGAGACACTGTCTCCAGTCATTCTGTCTAGTATAGAGATATCAGGCCTAAACTGAAACTCCCAGCTTCCCTGTTAGTGGATAAGGAGTTGCTGGACTGTCCCGACCTGGTATCACACACTTTGTGTAGAAATGAGACTAATTGTTATGGGAAGCACTTCTTGAGCTATGTTAAACTGCCTCAAGAAATATTTTCCCTGAAATAAAAAAATAGGACCTCATTGCTTAACTCCCAGCTTTCTGTCCAGCAGTGGGGAAACTTTTCTGGACCCAGGTCTCTAGTCTGATTCTCTGGGAAATACTATAAGATAGGTATCATCCAGAGATGTCAAAGATATAAATCTGACCTTAGCAAGTGGCCTTATGATGCTCATGGAACACCACAGTGTCATCACTGGTATGTGATCTCTTCCTGTTTAGTTTATAAGCTATTTTCCCCCTGTTTCATCCATGTTTTACCTTTGTTAATGAGGAAAGCTGTGCTGGGCAGTGGCGGCACATGCCTTTAATCCCAGCACTTGGGAGGCAGAGGCAGGTGAATTTTGGAGTTTGAGGCTAGCCTGGTCTACAGAATGAGTTCCAGGACAGCCAGGCTTACACAGAAAAACCTTGTCTCAAACAAAAAACACCCCTCCAAAAAAAAGAAAAAAAAAAGAGAAAAGTTGCTATTATAGCAGCAATCCATATGATTCGGGAATTCAGTTGTATTGAATTTGAACCCAAGTATTTTCTTTTTCCTACTATGTATTTGAAAACTATGTCATTTCTCTGAATTTCAGCAACTTTATCTGATGGAAAACAATAAAATGAATATCTTACAATAGCTTTGATATGGATTAATATAATAATATACATACAACAATTATTGAAATTTGGTACTAATTTATAAGATTAATCAAAGCCCATTTTTATATCGATAGCCTCTTCAGTGTGCTATGATTGGATTTTTTTTTCCTTTTACAATAATAAATCCCTTTGGTATCCCAGGGCCTTAGTTACAGAAGTTTTTGTATAACATCCAGAGTTGTTTGAGTTTTTGATATAAAATGACAGAATAGTGATTTTTCCCCAACTTATAATATCTTGCTAATGCTAAATTAAATAACGGATGTCCAATATATTTTGAAAACAATGACAAGAAAAACACTTATGTTCAGTCTATAAGCAATTTAGCTATTGTTTCCACCAAAGGTATAAAGAGAAGCATCTGTAACTAGTATCCTCCATGAGAGAGGATGCTCTTAATATGTATGAAGCCCTACATTCCAGAATCTGTACCTCAAATAATAACAACAGAAGCAGCAGTAGCAGCAGCAGCAGCAACAACAACAACAACGACGACAATAATAACAAAAGACAAAAAGTTTTTTGGTGGATCTTTGGGTTGGTGGAATGTATTGGTAATTACATGCTGGCAAGTACTTTTGGTATAGACTTAACCTCCCAGATTTCCTTCTGGACTATGACTTTGAATATGACCTCGGTATAGAGAGAGCACCTTCTCTCTCCTAAGCACTCATAATGTCCTCATCTAACTCAGAGATTGTGGGCTTCATCACTATCCTTACCCATTCTCCAGTTGAGTTGAGCTGGGCTGAAACGTCCAGTGAGATCTGAGGAGCTGATGAAAGCTCTTAATGACAGGAAGGATGCCAATGGATCATCACAATTGTCTGAAAAGATGAAAAGAGCAGGAGGGGTCAGATTAAATGGACAGGAAAAATTATACAAAGAGAGAACTTATAATATAGGCACTCTTTTAAAAAAATACCCTTGAAAGGACTGAGAACTATTTTTCAATGTGTATATTTGCAGTCATTTCTCATAACCCTCAAATATGGTATGACTTCCTTTCATTGATGGAAAAAATGAGGTCTGGAACAATTTAAGCTCACAACACTAGTAAATAGTGTAACCAAAATCTCTCAGGAAGATTTGTTTGTGTTAAAAGCCCAGCTGCGCAGCCTTTCTTTTAGTTGAACATTTGATCATAGCTGCACAGTATATCTGTTTTTAGTCTATGAAAGGGAATACTCTTACAGGACATCACTCATTGCCATATCTTTAATGTCTTAGAACCCTTACAATATATGTGTCTATTAAAATAAGGTAATTTTGAATCCCTTACTACAACTTGAGAAAGAGAAACAAATGAAAGAGAATAGTCTCAGATATTGTAACGTTTGAACTAGTTGGGAACTTCCATAGCTTACTTTCTAGCCTTCCCTGGTGAGGTATATTCTAAGGCTGTTTTGATAATACTAAACACAATTAACACAGACAAATGCATGCTTTGTCAACAGGGCTATGTTCCTCCAAGTTCAGACAAATCCATGGCCACTGGATTTCAGATGGAAGAGCTTGCTCTTCACACTTAATACATACCATATACATAATTGGTTTTATTGTGTTCCACAATTGATTCTCTGAGACATTGAAAAATGACTCCATAACATCTAGACAGATCTTATCAAAAACAGATTTGAAATGTGCTACTCTAGGTAAATTTTCTGGTAAGTAGGCCCTTGGGAAGAAATGATCTGACATTTGAAAAGAATATTTGCATAGGATCATGATTGTTTATTCAGACAATTCTTACAAAGCTGTGTTTCAGGTAATTGCTGGAAAAACAATTAGAAATGTGAGACTTAAATTCTTGTTATTTAAGTGTGTTTAAAAATCACCTACTGAACTATGTTTCATGTTTCTCCCAAATTCAAATATCTTAAAATGTGTGACAAGTATGAAACATAGGCATATCCCAACTGGAAGGGGAAATATCAGAATCCAGTTAATGGCAGCTTGGTGGCTCTAGGATTTGGGGCATGACAGCAGGTAAACATGAGACATGTGTAGCTACTTTACTGTTAACACAGGATTAAGATTCATACATTCACCACAAAATACTTGTTTGAACCACACCATCCCTCCCACAAATATGAGGTAGATATTGTTTGTGCTTATGTATCTTTTATTATCAAGAATTATCAGAACATCAGATAAATTTAAAGGCACAGCTTAATTTGCCTAGTGCTTGCTATGCAACCATAAGTTTGAAACATTCTGGGTGTTATGATACCACCTTTTAATACCAGCACTGGGGAGAAAGAGACAAGTGAATTTCTTGGGATTGCTTTTTAGCCAGAAGATGTGGTGTTGGAATATCCTGCTCTGCCCAATGTGAGACTCTGTCTTAAAAGAAAAAGTGGACAGCATCCTGAGCAATGATAGTCAATATTTACATCTGAAATCCATAGACATAGACAGGTCCCAGAGACATATGTATCTGCAAACATTGCAAACATGTTCACCTGCATACACACACACACACGTGCATGCACATGCATGAACACTACAACTATCCTCATTAGGCTCTGTTTACTTTTCCAAGTATGATGGATGACCTTTATAAGTACTGTTCTCTTGGCTTTGCTCATCCCTTAATGCTTTCTCATTTAGTGTAATACTAAATCACCCTTTCATTTTATTCTATACATTTGCATTTTTATTCTACCAGAAATAAATATACTCCCTTAAAAAAGTCTAAAGAATGTTTAAGTCAAATATTACTTAGAAAACAGTCCTGGTGCTTAACATTTTTTTTTCCTTTTAGTTGTAGCCCTTGGGAACATGTGTAAATTGTTAAGATGCCTGAAATGTGGAAAGATATCTGTGATATAATCATTTAAATTTAAATCATCCCATGGATTTTAAGGTTCTATTTTTGCCAGTACTCAGATTGACATGGAGGATAGATCTGAGAAAACAGAGCCATACACTGTAGGCTGCTCACAGATCATTCTCACATACAACTGTATTAGCAGATATACTTCAGGGCTAACTTAGAACAAATTCACTGAGTGTTTAGCCAAGCTCAAAATGCCTCCATATTTGTTCAACTTTCTGTGCTCCTGGGTCAAAAGTTTTAGGAGGATGTGATCTCCAAGAACTAACTGGATTCACAATAATAGGAGCAGTGTTCCTTAGTGGCTCTTCTTACCTATGACAGTATTGAGGCTAATGTTTCCATGTTGGGCATCAGCCAATCTGTGAACAATGACCTCTACCAGTGGGCAGACTCAGCGGAAAAGTTTTAGTGCCTTGTCCTTACACATCTTGCATTTTTAAAGAGTGGATTTTTGGAGAATGCATCTGAATTAAGATCATATCTCAAAACAATAATAAAAATGGGAAAAAATCAAATCTGAAAGGAAGAGAGGTCATCTTGCCTTCCATCTTGAGTAAGGAAGTATTTCCTTCTGACATCTTCATAATTACTCATCAAATCTGGCAGAGAATAGACTAGGCCTATGATCTTGCAATAACCAACTCACAGATCTGTTTATTCTCCTGTCAGAGTGTCAGAAAACAATCTAGGTAAGTGGACAAAGCCATGTTTTATGTCTGCCAAACAGAGAACCATCTGTTCCACATCCAGCCTTAGACTACATGATGGAATAAGACTAGGAGAAAGACAAGCTTTCAGTATGAAACCCATATGAGAACATAGAGTAGCACAGGCTTCTAGGGATATCTTCTGTCACCTGGAAGGAGATCTAATATTTTTATTCTTTGGATCTTCCTCCTGTGCTATGAAATCCTACAAAGAACAGGTACTGCCTATGACTCTTGTGTTCTAAGACATCACAGTGAGCCAAGGACTCAGGATAAGTGCAGAAAAAGATGAAGACATGTGTAAAGGAGATCACAAGGTGTACTCAACATACAGCTGGCCATCTTGGTAGCTGCTAGCTTGCCTTCACACCCAACATGTCTGAAAAGGAATGAACATCTGTTCCATCATCCTATGTGCTTCCAGGAAGGCTAGCACATTGCCTTTCAAATTTTAGCTTCTCTGCTTCCTAAGTTTCCTAGTGTGTTAACAAATGGGGATTGTCCTCAACCACTGTGTCTGTAGTGTGTGTGTGTGTGTTTAAAGAAGAAACAAATGAAAAAAAATATTGATCTGAAAGGAGTTTCATTTTGAGAGATGGAGTCTATGTAGCCCATAATCTCCAACTTGTAACCCACCCAACTAAGCATTCAGAGTACCTGGCTTTCCAATGCAGAATGTGGTGTTTTTCAGTTCAAAAAACAAAAACAATAACAAACGCAAACAAATAAAACATCATAAAGAGCTTTCATGACTAGTGTCAGTTGTCAACTTGACTAAACTTAAAATCAATCAAGTACTGAAGCCTGTTAGTACAAGTACCACAGAGTCTCATATTTAGGTTGGTTCAAGCAAAAAGAAAAGCTTACCTATAATGTGGGCAGTACTTTCTGGTAGTGTCTAGATGCAAGGTCCAACAGAAAGTTAGTTTTCCACGTCTTTCTTTGCATCTCACTGACAGATTCATTTACCTTGTCAAGAATTTGTCTATTCATCTGTTATTGCTGTCACTATTGATCTCATCCATCACCAATATTATGATTGGGCTTCTTTGACTATCAAGGGTGGACTAAGGAAAATGGTTCTCCAGGAATATTTCAGGCTATTGCTACCAGATCAGTGATGTGGAAGCACCAGCCTTCTCTACCGAAGGAGGGATACTGAACCATCTGCCTCATTTACCAGATAGGGGATGTTGAAGCACCAGCTTACTATATCTATGCCTTCTGCCTGAGAAGATACCCATTCTCAGCTTCTCTATTGTGAAAATGACAATTGTTGTCTACCCAAAGAACTTCTCATGAGGTTCCGAAGGATTCTTGCCACATCTGCAGCTTCTGCCTGGCTGGCAAGCCTTGTAGTTTCTTTTGAATTGAACTGCCCTTGCTGGCTCATGTGTGGTGTTTGCCAAGAGGACTGAACTGCAGCTGGTGATTTGTATTTGGTATTTGCTACTGGACTGAATTGGTGATATCCTGACAAAGAAGATTGGACTTGTCCCTAAAGAACTATTTCTAAACAAGTCTACTTCCCCCATGCCCAGAAAAGTCCTCAAATAAGACAAGAAGAGCTTCTTTATAAAACCAGGAACTAACCTGAGGTTAGTTCTGTGTTGAACACAGAATGACCCATAGTATGACAAAGCAAGGCAAATTTACATGCTAAAGATAGTATGCTTCCTCAGTTACAATTCAAAGATACTGAAATGACAGTGAATTCAAAAGCCCACTTGAAATTTACTACCGACTTTAATGGAAAAACAAATGTGGAGAAGAATAATGGAATGAAATCAACTTGGAACATGCATCAGCATGTCAGCAACACAAAAGAGAAAGTGAAGAATCTCAAAACAAACACACATGCATGTTTGGAAACATGTATGGCAATGAAAAAAAATGCTATTAATTGTAAAACAAAAAAGTACAAAATGTCACAAATACAAAAAGTAAAGCAAAAATAAATATATTATCAATGGAAAATAATGTCACTGAAATATTACATTCTGGGATTAATAAAGTCACCAAGGAATAACAAAAAAGAATAACATGTCAGCATTGATCTTTGGGACAAGAGTAAGAATCCAAAGCTACAAACATGAAAAAGGGGGGTAAAATAAAAACTGAAGGAATAGAAATCTATTCTGTAAAGTGAGGGCTCCAAACTCTCCTAACTCTAGAAATGTTAAAGCAAGGACAGATAGTGTTACAACCTTAAGTGATCATGCCCATAAAAAGATCTCTCCATGATACACTAATTACTAAAATATTCAAACTACTAAAT